TGTGGCTCAAGTGACACGATCTGTCCACGTCCCCAATTTTCTTCAGGCTCCCGAAAAGAGCGAAGCTCTTCTTGGCAGCAAATCCCAACCTGAAGCTGAAATCGTCCTTTGCCCTTGAGTTGACAGTTTTCAGGCGATCCTGTAATCAACGAACTGCGCACCTGACTCATTGTTTGGAGGGGCCCAGGTTTCCGCTTCTCGCGGATTGGTTCTCACCTTTTTGGCTCTTGGCTTTGGCAACTTTAGGTCTTTGCTGCCTGATTCTGGCTTGCCATCCTAAATCAACCCTAAAGCCACTTCACCCCACCCTATTTCCACCTTAAATCCCACCCTACAAATCCTGAAAGCGGGCCTATACCAAATGCATCACTTTTTTTGGGCATTTCTGTATTCTCGGGAGAGGCCTCCAAAAAAGGAAGACTACAAAAAACTAACTTCGCCTGTGTCAAGTGCCAACTGTCATCCCCTGCACTTGTGCTGCTCAAACAAAAGTAGAAGGCGAGTGTGCTGGACTTGCCGCTGGCTTCCTTTCCAATTGAGAACCAGGGGCCACTGGCTCGGGGCTCGCCGATGTCAAGGGGTCCACTCCCAAGTCCCAAGCTCTCCGCTCTTCGCCCGTCCTCCTCAATCCTCGTCAGTCGTCGGGGATACCATGACACAACCGGCATCGTTGTGGCCGCCGTCATGGCGAAACTGGAGCCAACAGCCGGTGGAACGAACGTGCCGAAGGCAAAAATTGGCGCTCAAACTGCAACGCGCCGTGGCCTGCAATTTGAACAAAGGGTCAGCTTGCACTGCTTGGCCACAATCGTGCCTTGCATCTGGATTTGCGTGGCCTGTATGACCTGTGAGCCCCATTGTGGAACTGACTCTTGCAGATTGCAAAGCATTGTGATGTATCTTCGCGAGCATGTGAAACGCGCACAAACATATCCATCTGTGTGTTCGGTCCGTGACACCGTGTGCCAGGAACACGGTGGCAGCCGGGTGCTTTGCCGCTGCGGCAGAGACATGAGGCCCGAGGGAAACCCAAGCCAGGCCAGGCCACTCGCAGCCGGTTGGCTTGGCTTCAACTTCCTTCCGGTTTCGTTTAACATTCGTCATCGCAAAGAGGTACCGCCGAACTCAATGGATGGCCCACCCCTCTTGGCAGTCGCAGGTTCCATTCGCAGTTGACGCCTCGAAAGTTCTCCATAGCGGCCGCACGTTCTGGGAATCCCTGCAAAGTGCTTGATGGTGAGCAGCTTGAAGCGGGCCTAAGTGCTGGGTTTCTGACATGGAGTGATAACTTTCATCGTTTACAAATAAACAACGGCTTAGCGTTTTTTGTTTTTTAAGGATCCCTGCAAAGAATGTGACCCTTCGGTGGACATCATTTGCATGAGGATTTGTGTCCGCCAACCTGTTGTGCTGGTGTTGCTGCTTGAAAACCAGAGAGCGAGAGAAAAAACCATCATGTGCATGTATATATATATATATATATATAAATGTGTATATATATATATACACATCCATTTTTGATCACTCCCAAAGCTTTGAGCCATGCTGCTAAATAAAACATGTCGATGGGGCCACCTTTCCGGCACGAACATCTGAGCAGCGTATGGGATCTGTCTCAAAGGGGACCAAAGAAATGGCGGCTTTCCCTTGGCGACCAAAGAGCACACGCTTGAAGGCGCACACAGCCGTGTCAAATGGTGGCTCAAATTCAAGAGCATTTGCCAAAGGGGCCATTTGGGCACATTTGTTTGAGCCACAGCCAAATGAGCAGGCTCGCTGGAGGCTCTATCCCTAGCGGGCGGCTGGAAAAAAACGGGCGACATCTGTTAAGATCCGTGCGGATACGAAGCAAAAGCCAGCACCCGCTGGCCTGCTGGTGGTGCGGTGTTGCCGCAAAAATTGGAAGCGGATTCCTTTCCCTGTCATCGATCAAAAGGAACTCATGGCCCAATTCGATGGCAGCCCTATGGACTTTTGCACTTTTGATGCCGCACAATGGAGAAGTCGACGAAACAGTAACTCGGATAGGCACCTCAAATGGACGATGTCCTTTTGAACCCTTTTCTCCCCATCCCCGTTCCCCCATCCCCGTTCCCCCCCCCCTCCCCCCCCGCCATTTCGCGCCAGGCTGCAAGGACTGGCTTCTCGCCTGTGAAGCAACTGCGAGTTGGCAATACGCGGAACTCTCCAAAGTCTCCAAAGCACACGCTCACATGCGGTTGGACACCCTGCAAAAGCCGCGCAGCATCTTCTCAAGTTCAACATTCAAAGACCGAAGACAGGGCCTGGATTTCCTCCGAAAGTTGATCCACTGACTGTTGGTTTCCATTGAAACAATTGCCACTTGAGGTTCCAAAAGGGATTTGCCTCGGAAACCCAAGAGCAGAACCTGTCCCGGCCTTTCGCACCCACGCGCGAAGGCGGCCGGAAACTTCCTTGCAATGGAACGCCCAGCTCAGTGACAGAAAGCGAAATGTTTTCAGGTTGAACATCTGTAGTGCGGAAGCCGCTGAACAACTGGGCTCAAGATTGAAGGAAAACGGCATGAAGCGCAGTTTGCCGATGTGATTTCTTGTAAACCAATCTCGCCTGCTTTTGGAAAAGGACCACCCCCCTTTTTGAAAGGCTCCTTCCGTAAATCGTTGAGAAGCCACTCGACAATATGCGGGTCTCAAATTTTGGGATCCCTCCCGGTGGCAAGGCCCATCCAGAATGGGGCCCTCAAGCAGAACGAATACTTGGCGACGGATCCCTTGGCTTTCAGTTTCGGCTATAAGATTCCGGCGGGAACCCTGTTTAATCAACTTTGCAACCACCCATGATCTCAAAACTGTGGCTCCTCCCCATGTGAAGAAGAAAGCATCCATTTTTTCCCGGCCAGTGAGCTTCTACTTGGCACAGGACACTGGCAAGGAACAAACCAACGTCGCCCCGAAACGTGTGACTTGCTGTTTTGCACAACGTGGATCCCAGTCACCACCACGGAACCAGGGTGTCTCAGCCCGCTACGCGATGGACCTCGCCTCGGGGCGGGTGTTCCCACATGGGTCTTGTGAGTTAGAGCGGCTTCGCGCGGCGATGAATTCTCATGGGGAACCTCAAGAGTGGCTGGCGGACCTAAATCCCCAATCGATGTCCACCAAAGGGGCCCTAGTAAGAAACATATACTGGGCTCACGTCCAAGCGAGTTCGTTTAGTTCGTGGTTTTGGGAGTCCACCGTAGCTGGGTCCCACGGTTTTCGTGGGCCTTGGGTAAAATGGGGACCAAAAAAGCAGCCACCAGCCAGGCGCACAGGCCATGCTTTGGCAAAACCTTCCCAAGATTGATTTTCCATTTGCTGTGTTCGTTCTCAGTCGCGTCCTGCTCTCTGGATTTGTCAACCCTGCATGTCCCGCTTGGTGTTGGTGCGCTTGGAGACAATGCAAGATGGACGGTTTGGCACATAGACAAACACAGTTCCGTTTTATGCCCCTACAAAAGCCGAAGGTGCTTTCAAATAAGGACAGGTGCTATCACCTGCTGATTAGTTTCAAGGAAAGATACGCCCCACAATTTGAAAACACTTCTGGACGGCAATATTGCATGATTCCGAAACCCAGAAAAAAAAGGGTCATATTTAGCGGATTCGCTTGCAGCAGAGCAGGTCAACTGCTTCACTCGACGTCTTTGACTCGCGCAAAGTTGTCCAATTTTTCCCTGCTGAGCAGTTCACTCGTGCTTTCCAAGACATTGATTTGTCAGCCAAGCGTTGAACACAAATGGAATCCCTACACGAATGCGCGCCCCTTTTGCTTTTCTCAAGGGAAACAAATCCTAAAATGGAGAACAACATACTTTTGCTCCCCTGAAGTGGGTGTTCTTTATTGAAGGAGCGCACGCTTGGGTTTGGCTTTAGGGGGTCTGCTCTTGGAAGCTCCAAAAGCCAGCTTGGACCATTTGCACCCCTTCATCTTCTGTTTCAAAGGCGGTCAAGGGTCTGAATAAGTGGGTTCTCGAAGAGAAACCAACATTTTGGGGCTCGTTTGGAGACAACCCTAGACAAAAGCAAAGCCAAGCCCAATGCAGCGGACGGGTCGGACTGGCTCTCTGAACTTGACTTTGTTTGGCTAAAACCGGGGATTCTTTCAGACAAAAAGAACCACGCCCACTTGGAGGCTCACACAGATCTGCCAAAGTGATCATTCACACCTAGAGGTTGGGCAACCACATTTCCTATTTGAACATAACTGAACCTTTTTGTTCTGTCCTCATGAAACCACCAGGGAAACCCAAGCCCCCTTCTTAGGGCTTGACGCATTCTGTCAAAAAGCCCATCGATTGAAATATCTCAGCTCGGCACTCCGGGGCCGCGCTGCTGGGCCGCGGAACCTGATCTCACGACGATTTGAGGACGCACCGCGCCCCATCGAAGGTCGAAGTGAAGCTGCCGCCCTTGTGGTTTGCATAGTGTTTTGAGGTTCGCCGGCGAGAATGAAGTTGGTGTTGCTTATTTGTTGAATCTGTTTTTTTTTTCTCCTGTTCTTTGCCCTTCACATGCTCCCCACTAAGGGAAGCCTCAAAAACAGTCACCAAAGACACCTCTTTGGGACTGGCGACTTCTCCTCCATGGTGGCTTTCCTGTTGGCTTCCCTTTGAACCCCCCCCAAAAAAAACCAAAACAAAAAACACACACAAACAAGCAGACAGACACACTAAAACCAGGAGTCCCCAACCTCCCAAAAAATAAAACACAAAACAGCACCGAGCCCCCCCCCCACAAAAACAAAACCGCACACAACACAAAAAAGAAGTGCACCCCCCAAAGGCCAGACCTCATTCCGAGACCTCGCTTCGGATGCCCGGCGCCTTCTTGGCCACGGCGCTCGCGGCGGCGCAGCCCACGGCGTCCTCCAAGGCGCTGAGGATCCAGGCCGCGCCGAAGGACGCCTATGGAAGGCAACCGAAACACGTGTATCCAAAGACTTGGGTGGGCTCTGTGGCTCTGTTTGGCTGTTAAGCTGTAGGGCTCTTTGTTTTTTCCCGGAAGCATTGCGAAGGGTTCTTCTTCTAAAAGCGGCTGCCAACTTCACCTGCCAACTTCTCATGCCAACATAAGTTGCTTCCTGCCACTTCTTACCAGCATCGAGAGTTACTTCTGCCATAACTTCTCATCCTGCTTAGAACTTTACCACTGCCTCTTCTCATATCAACTTTCATGTTATCATTCTCTAAAGCACAAGCTAATTTGTGGGTGTTACTAACATCATAAAAACAGCTTTCTGTCTTCCAATTCTTCTTCTTTTTCTGAGGATGAGCCCGACAGGAAAAACCTCTCTGCAGATCGTAAGCGCTCTCGCTGTAGCATGTAATCTGGTTTATCTCGGCGAACCCTCGGAGATCGTGCGGTGTCAGCGCTCAAGCAATGCGCCCGTCTGGATTTTGACCCGATGAACCTCTCTGGGATAAATGCGTGTCAGCATCTCAGCTGTGGCTGTAGCAATCTTGTCTTTGTCGTGAACCCTCTGAGATGATGCGTGTCAAAGCGCTCTCGTGGCGCCCGCGGAATTTGTCTTGACAGCAGCGAACCCTCTCACGGAGATCCTCTGTCGTCAAGCGCTCTCGCATGGCCCGTCTGAATCTTGTGTCGCCAGCGCCCTCTGCAGATCATCGTGTCAAAGCGCTCTCGCCCCGTCTTGTCTTGATCTTGACAGCGCACCCTCTGGCGCGCTCTCGATCCAATCTGGTATCTTGGCGCGGGGATCGCGTGTCGGATCGCTCGCTGTCCCGTCTGAATGGACCTATCTGGGGATCGGCGTGTCGGACGCTACCGTGCGAAATGACAGATGAACTCTGGGATCGTGCGTGTCTCATGACCTGTGACCCTCTGTAGCCGCTTGCTTAGCGCCGAGCAGTTGTCTCATGGCCTTTCTTGTCATGGTTTGCAGCCCACCTGGTCGCGCCAGCTCAGCGCAAAAATGTTTTGAGTACAAAAGTGTCGCGGAGTCTCAGCTCCTCGGAAAAAGAAGGAATCGAGAAGAGAAGGAGAAAAGGAAAAGTCGGTTTGTTTTTTGCATAGTGAACGCCTGAAAAAGACGCTTTCCGATGCGAGCCGAAGCGCTTTGGGATGATGAGTAACACTCGAATTTGGCACGTGTTTTAGGACAATGCATTTTGGTAAGTGATTTAGGCGGCTTTATCATTTGGCAGAAGTAAAGTTGAGCGTGTTAACATATTGGCTAAAATAAACATTGGTTGGATTTTTGAGATGATAAACGATCTGGCGCTCAAACTTTGCTTCTTTTTCGGCAAGAAAGCTCATGCGCCCTTTCAGTCAAAGTCCATTGCGCAGCCTCCGCGCGCATCATCCACCATGCGCCACAGCCTTGCGGCATCCACGCACACGGCGCACGCATGCAGGCGGAGTGCGGAGCAACACACAAGCGACGAATCATGCATGCAGGCATGGAAGAGCAACATCGCTGACACAAGCGCTGACTTCCGAAAGCAGTGAAGCGCAGCACAACATCACACATGCAACACATTTTAGCTATAAACCAAGGAAAAGCGGACAACACCACAATTGAACAACTCTGAGCATTTGTGCTCATTAAAGCACGCGTGAAAGCCGGAAGCCAAAGTGAAGCCGGACAACATCAACGGATTGAACAACCATGGCGTGCAGGCTTTGTGCTCATTGCACGCGTTGGTGAAACCGAAGCTAAGGAAGCGAAGTGAAGCCGGACAACATCAGCAGATTGACAACCTCACGCTTGAGCAGATTGAAGCAAGGTGAAGCGGACAACACCAGCAGATTGAATAACCCATGACATGCGACATTTATGCCTGAAACGCATTGCGCGGGTAAGCCGAGGGAAGCCAAGGGAAGCAGTGAGCTGGACAACATCAGCGGATTGAACAACCTATACATGACTTTGGCATGGCGTTGCACGCATTGCGAGGATGCCGAGGGAAGCCAGGAGCCGGTGCCGGGATGCGATTGAGCACATGTCACGGCATGCGTTTGCATTGAACCTCGTTATAAGTTTCACCATGTCCAGGCTTCGCTCCTGTCTCTCCAGGTGGTGAGTGGTTTCTCCACGATGCCTCAGGTGTTGGTTTCCCCCCTCGCCTTCCATGCACAGCCGGTGGTTGGTTTCAAGCTGGCGCGCCACTTTGCTGCGTTTTGGCTGCAGACAGTTCATGTTCCGGCTGACGGCGAGGCTCTCAAACACCTGTAATGTGTGCGTATTATTTATAGTGTTATGTTTTAGTCTTTGTTTTGTCACACCGTCATCGCCAGCCAGCGCGCAGCATCACCACGCCCGCGCTGGCTTCGCCAGCGCAGCATTGGTATCTTTAACATGCGCGGCTCTGCTGCCAGCACAACATCAGCATTGAGCAACATATGCGTGAGGCTGGTGTGGACTCCGTTTGCCTTCGAGGTGAAGCCGAGGAAGCCGGAGTGAAGCCAGACAACATCAGCAGATTGAACAACCCATGGCATGCTTGATTGTGCTGCCTGCGCTGTTGCTGAGAAAAGCCAAGGGAAGCCGAGTGAAGCCGGACAACATCAGCAGATTGAACAACCTCCGTGCCACACTTCTGCATTTGCATTGAGACCTCGCTTTGTAAGTTGCCTGCATGTCCAGGAGCTTCGCTCCAGTTTCGCTTCGCCCAGGTGGTGGTGGTTTCTCCACGGTGCTGCAGGTGTTGGTTCTCCCCCGCCTCGCCTTCCGCGCCACGCGCCTGGTGGTTGGTTCAAGCTAGCGCGGCAAAAAAAACAACATCGCGGTAGTTTGCTTGCTGCCTGTTTGTTCATGTTGGAGCCGCCCGAAGCATGGTATGCATCATCGAGATCCACATGCCGAGCCACTCGATCTACACGCGCGACATGATGGTGGGCAAGATCGCGATGAGCAGGGAGAACCTGCACTGAGAAGTGCATGAAATTCCTCAACTTTTAGTGCCATATTCGAGCTACTGACAAAAAGCGGAATCTGTCTGTGTGCAGCTTGTCGCGACTAGACTACTTGATCGCTAACAACTAACTTGCCTCTATGCTTCCGGGCCACTCGTCGTCTAGTTTGAAGTTTAGGGCTTGGCTTTACACGTATGAGGCGCCCTCTCGGAGGAGGAGGGTTGGGAGTTGGTGACGTCCATTTGCGTTTGCGTTTTCAAGCACTAGGTCTTCCAGTAGAGCTAGAATACGGCTACCATTGGGTACCCTCAAGGTTGGCTTTTCCAGGGAAGCCCAAATTGGGAAACCAAGGGAAACCATCGGTTTGCGTTTTTTGGGAGCCCATATGGCCATAAAGGACACATAAGGAAAACACAAAAGTGTTTAAGCGAGAGTTCGCGATTCCGTGCACGTCTTGCCTAAATGGCTTGCGGAGATCCAAGATGCATGCCTCAATCTGAGATGGATTTGGTCCATCCGTATCTCACATGAAACCTGCACATCTTTACGGCTACTCCAAACGCGAAGAGGTTGGGCCAGGCCGGGGACCGAGTCATGCCTATGGCTTCACTCCGAGAATCCAATCAACTCCGATGCCAGGGGCTTCGCAGAATTCCAGAATTCGGAGAGAACAATGGCAGCCAGTTGACCTAAGCCTTTCGGACAGGGCCGTGGGGAATGGAATCCACTTCCATGATACAACAGAAAGGGCTTCCCAGAGACTAAATTCTTCATAGAAAGAGGGATTCCCTTGTATCACAGGAGTGGGGATATACCCCGAGTGATCACACAACCCTGCTTTCGGACATCGGTGAATCTAGCCCTGTGGGATCTTTAAAACAGCTCATCAACTTGGGCTCAGCTGAGAACTCGGAAGAAGTCGGACGTCGGCGAAAACTCGGACGCAACACCTGTGGATCTCTGCAACCTTTGCGCTTCTTGTCAATTCGTTCTGACGAAGACTGCCCGTGGAAGGAAAGCGTGAACACAAAGCCTGGCAATCGCGAAGAAGAACACATATCAGGGACATGCGGCATGGTTAGCTTGCGGAACCAAACATAACATTGCCCTGGGGCTGGGAGGAACTTCGGGATAAAGCACTGGGCGCTTCTTTCTCCAATCAATCCCGGTAGGAAGGTGTCTTTCTCTTACACAGCAAACTCCTAATTCCTCACAGCGACATGGGCCTTGTTCAGGTCTTGAAGGCAAGGAAGGACACCTTGTGGCCGATTTCTGAAGGGACACGAAACAAAAACGATACCAGCAAAAGGGAAACTGTCCCCAAAGCGAAGCGAAGGCCCGTCGCCTCCTTGGATCCTCCGCCTTCGCGTCAGGTGGCCACTCGGCGCGGTTCTGTTAGGGATATCTGGGATTTTGGTTGAAGCGCAGAGAACACCAGGCATCCTTAGATCAACATGGTGCAAGGGTCCAATGGCCGATGTTGGAGTTCAGTACATGCCATATGGAAACATACGTGCACTCAGGAGGGTGTCAGCCAAAATGGGGACCCCATTGTTTCTAGACGGTTGCAAGACCAAAAGGAGACTTCGGAAGATCTCGATGCGAAGCGTACCTCAATTCAGGTGGCTGATCCGTATGAGCACTCAGCAAGGGCCAAATGGTCTGCGCATGCATGGCAGTCGCGGAATCAGGCAAACACACTCAAGAGAGGTCTAATTTCCATCTCCATCCTTTGACTTGCCCAAAAGACCAGCAATCTAAAGTTGTCAACCTTTCGGAGTGTTCAAAAACCAACCAGAAAGCCAAAGGTCCAAACGGTGGAACATAATGGAACATAACCCATGGAACATAACCCCGAGAATACCAATGATGGTGATCCCTGGTATAAAAAAAAACAACAACAACCAAAAAACAAAACAAGTTGGGTCATCCCCATAAACCCGACGGACCTCGTTGAACTTGAGTTGAACCGCCGTTTTTACCGCGCCTTGTGCCAGAAAGCTGGCAAGCACCTGGCGCCTCAGCTTTTTGGGAAGTTGCCAGGCCCCGAACCAAGAGCCAAGAAACTGAACAACGGATTGGCTGACGCACCATTGTTCAATCCGTCGCCGGAACTTGCCCTTGGATCTTGCTGGCCATAGCCTCGCGCTTGGTGGCTTGGCGGACTCCGAGGCAATGCGCAAAGGCCGGAATTGCGGCACGTGAAAGTCTTCGGCGGTGCTCCTGTGGGTTTCCCAAGAGACCCAAAGCCGAACCACAAACATGCATGCTCGCAACAAACGCCCCCTCCCATTTGTTGGTCTTCCTTTCAGTTTCCTTTGCCAACCCAAATTGGGCGAGCCACACAACACATGATGAAAAGGGGGGGTAACAAATGGTTCTCAAAATCTTCACCCCCCAAAATGGCCCAACACTTTTTCTTTCGGCTTCCCCGTCAAGGCCTTCCAAAGCAACACGCAGCCAACGGACGGAGACCGGGTGGCCCGGCTGCGAGCTGCTGGACTGACCAAAGCAGAGGCCGGGTTTGGGCTTGCGCTTGAACAACCAGCCGGTGTTCCGCTTGCCCCACACACGAAGAAATGTTTTTTTTGGGTTTTTCCGTATCCCTATGAGTGGACACCAAGCCCCAAACTGAGCAGTTCCCGCTAGCTCCTTGAGCAAAAATTTTCCCTCAAGATGGGCAGCCTCCCCTTTGAGCTTTGAGACCACCTTTGAATTGGGCACTTTGAACAAAACCACCACTCAATTGTGCTTTGCGCTCCTTGTTCTCATGCTCACTTGCGCAATGACCGGGTGTCCAACATGGGAAATCAACAGATGAATCCAGGTCGATTCGCCTTGGTTTCAAGTAGTGTTGGGGAGTGATGAATAAAGGCCCCCCCCCCCTCAAACGAATTGGGGGGGTCAATAGCGAGAACCCCCAAAAACAAAATGGGGGTCAGACTGGGATCTGCCTGAGTAGTTTTCCAGTAAGTATTGTTTAGAATTGGTTTAGTATTGGTTTAGTATTTCTTTGAGCTGGCTCACTACGGTTTAGAATTGGTTTAGTATTAAATCAGTATTCTTTTCAGTTGACTCACTACAGTTTAGAATTGGTTTAGTATTGGTTCTTCTTCTTGGCAGGCTGTCCTGGCCATGTTTTTTCACAATTCCCTACCCTTAAACAAACTGCATTATTGCCTTCCTGGGGGTTCCGTGTGCCACCCGCTTGACAATTTGTCAGGGTGCATCTTCTAGTAAAGGGATTGATAAGGAATTTGGTGGTTTGGGACAGGAAGCAATCCAGAAATTCTGGACATTTCTGGCTGGACTCAAACGTTTCAACCCTCAAAAATAGTCCATTCTTGGAATGGGACATATTTTCGGGATTTCGGGCAGACTTTTTTCTGTAATACCTACCCTTTTTGCTTTTCAGGAGAGTGAATATGTTTTTTGAGATGTTTTTTTCTGACACACCCGGCGGGGAACACATTCTTCGTCAAGTTCAAGACATCCCAACCCTGGTATTTTGGCGTCTTTTGCAGGCCTCAAACATGAACAGAACAATGGCCATACCCAGAGATAGCTCCAGTTGCCGAGGCAAGAATTCCCGCTTCGATCCGAAGTGCCAGTTTTTTTTTGTTGTTGTTGTTGTTGTTGGGGGGGTGTGAGTCACTCCAAGGGCAGCCCAAAGGAAAGCGTTTGAAACACCCAGGCTCCTTCCTTCGAACCGCGCTCAGCGCCTCAGAGGCATCCTGCCACCAGGCTTGCGCGCAAGTGCTGCCCACCTCGCAGTCGGCTGCTGACCCTTGGGCTTTTGTAACCCAAAAGCCACGGAGAGCTGGCGTGTCTTACAATTGCGACCCCTCCATGGAGTTCGGCTTTTCCCTTGGATTCCCCTGAAAGCCCCACTCAAGAACCTGGAACCCTTTCCTTCTTTCCTTCTCTTCTTCATGGATTTTATGGCTACAGAATTATCGAAAGGTTCTTTGGTGACAATGGGACAAGAAAGTAGGCACTGGGCTGTCCTCAGATCCCCCGCTACAAGTTTAACTCTTAGTGGGCTGCATGGAAATCCCCGCCAAACATTAAAAGATGCTAAAAGGCTAAGAGGCTAAGGAATCGGATGCCTGGGAACCAAGTAACGTGGTCCAACCCCAAGTGATCAAAGTCCAGGAACTCAGGGAGTGAGGGCATCTGTACATCTCTGGACGTTGGGATGGATGAACCTTCTTTTTTTCCCCCTTTTTGCGGAACAAAGAATCTCCGGTGGATGCCCCTGCTATACTGCAGGTAAACCAACCATACTGCAGACCCCACAAGACCTTTTAAAAACAAGTCCTAAAAGCATGATCCAGCAAACATGATTCAACATATACAACTTAGCAAGGCCCAAAATCAAGGAACGAAAGCCAGCCGGAGGCTCTCAGGTGCCCCGCTAGGCCGCCCAAGCGCCGCTGCATCTCCGCAGGCGCCTGAAAGCCAAAGGCAGGCACCCAAGCCTCGAAGCCCAGTTTTCTCCTTTTGGCTTTCCGAATATATACATACATATTAATATATATGTTAACCAAACAAAAACAACAAATATATGTTTTTTGAAACACACACATAAAACAAATGCCCAAAGAAAACCCTTCAGGGCCAGATCTGGCAAACTAGGGAGTATGTTCCTACCACTCAACATACCGCAAAAGCCTGTCCATGTCCCAAACGGTTTCCTTCAAAAACGACGTGGCGTTTTCGGTTGCATGGTTCATCTGGAGTTTCTCCGAAGCTGAGGCGCCGGCTGCCTGACGTCCCAGACTCTGCCTCGGGCCGGGCCGAAGCCTAGCTCCAGACGTCTGGGTTAAGAGAACATGGCTGTGTGCGGGGGCTTTTGTGGGTTCCCCTTCCACCTTGTTGTGCCTGTTTGTTGTGCCCACTGTCTTGACACGTACCTGTATGAGGGCATCCCCGTCTGGAATCCAGACCACTTTCGGAGTTGGTTATTTGGCATGGAACCCCAAAAACAGGCAGGCCGAAAACCGAACCGAGTTCAATCCCTCCAAATGCCAACCGCAAAAACAGGAGAACGAGCATCGACGAATCCCGAGCTCCAACATGCCGAAGGTACCCCCGGAGCATCACTCACTGCTGAGCGAAACTCAGCTTAAAGTACTGAAACCTGTGTGTTCTGCGACCACCATTTGGGTATGTGTCAAAACAGGGGGACGTGAGCAACGGGCGGCTATTCTCTAAGCCACCTGGAAAGGGTACAAACAAACATACAAACATACAAAGAAAGACAGAAAGACAGAAAGAGAAAGGAGGCAGCAAAGAAGAACAAAGGCAGAAGAAAGAAATAAGGAGAAAAAACAGAAAGACAGACACCCGTAAAGAAATGACACACAAATAACTTAGCGAAAGGAACAATAAAGACAGAAAGACAGACAGACAGACAGACAGACAGACAGACAGAAAGACAGAAAGAAAGGCAGAAACTATAAACAAAGCAAAGAAATTACAAAAACAAAATACAGACAGACAGACACAGGCGGGCAGGCAGGCAGGCAGGCAGGCAGACAGGCAGGCAGGCAGACAGGCATACCGACAGAGACGGACAGACACAAACAGACACGCAGACGCGCAGAAACGCAGACACGCAGATGCGCGGACGTGCGGACAGGAAGACAGGAAGGCAGGCAGACACGCAGACAGGCAGACAAGCATATGCAAACATGTAGGCACGCAAACACGCAGGGACGCAGAGAGCAGCCACGCAAAGACGCAGACTCGCAAAAACGCAAGGACGCCAAAACGCAGCGACGCACACAGAGACAAACACACACACACACGCCCGTACAGGGAACCGCTGCCCAAGTAGACCTCCCGGGTCAGGTGGCCCCGCGCCGCATGCCAGGCATCGATCAAGGACTGGGCCTGACGACTTTCGTGTTCAACGGGCTTTCGTGTGCCTCCTTCTGACCGTGGAGACTGGGTTCCTTATCTTGCGGTGTCTCGGGAAGGGGTCCCTCCCAAATGTAAGGAGCCCAAGCACAAGACCTGGCTTCAAAGACTACTGTCCTTTGAACAGGGCAACTGAGCACTTCCATGTTTGTTCGTGGAAGGTTACCCCACAAGCATGGTTTGGTGCGCCCGCCTCTTTCCGAAAAGGAACGTCGTTTTCCAGCTTAGAGTGGTGCTGTTCCAAAGGACAGCAGTCTGCCAAGAGTGGTTTGTGCATGGAACATGTTTGTTGCTGGAGTGGACTGTCGGCGATTCCCAACTTTCGCAGATATGTTGCCAACCTCTATTTCCGACAATGCTTTTGCGGGGTATCCGCATCTTTCGGAATTGGTGTCCATGTTGGGTAGGGAAACCCAAGCAAATCCACCCAACAGAGTTCCTAACATCGAGGTCCCTTATGGAAACAAAGGCAAATCCAAAGGGCGGGCCACCAAAAAATGTGGACTTGTTGATAAAGGAACCGAGGAGAGAGTCCCCACTTCAAACTCATGAATACACCCACATGAACTTGCCGCACAACAATGGCCCGGCTGCCAACTTGAGGTTTCTGCCGGGCTTTGCTTGGAAAGTACATCGGATGTTCGGTTCTTGTAGGCAACGTGGAATGTCGCAATACGGGGTTGGACCCCTCCAAGTGGTAGGCAACTCCAGCTGTTTTGGAGGAAATCCAGAAACAACAACAATCCCACATGCGCTTCCAACCATTTCGGCGAACGAACACCAAGCAGAAACTATCTCCGGCACGAGAATGAGTCGATCATTCGCCGGGTTCGATTGGTCATTCTGAGCCACCGGTGTTCAATGAGAACTCTCACTTACCAGGACCTGGAGACGACATTCAGCGAGACGGTGGCTTTCAGCGACTAGCCCCGAAATCAGGTAGGCACATGACTCTTGGCATATACGATGTATGGTGGCGATTTTTGGCGCCACAACCTTTACATGGCCCAGATGTAGATACATATTTGTAAACATGTGTATTTACACACACAAATCTATTGTATCTATCTATCCATCCATCCATCTATCTAATCTATCTGTAGCATATAGATATATAGAGGAATACCATGTAACGTAGATTGGTACGTGCCAACAACTCTCTTCACACACACACACGCGTGCAACTTGCACATCTGGGATTGAAAGACTAAGAAGACTGGGACAAATTTACACCACCATACCACCAACAAGCCACCCAAGATGGGAACCAAACCTGCGGATATCTCCCTGTTAAAACAAAGAAAAGAACACCAAACGAAACAAACATGACAACCACACACACAACCACAACAAAAAAACACACAAAAAAAACAAAGAAACAAAGAAAAGAAACAAGAAACAAGACAACAAACCACGCCTGGACGCATCTCTCTCCAAAAAGAAACCGGGGGGCCACCCATCCAACCCATCCAACCGCCCGTGGCCGCCGAACGTGGCCGAACCTTCCCATGGCGTCGAGGGGCGATCTGAAAACCCGCGGTGGCGAAGCTCCGGGAGGGCACCACCCTGTCCGGGCGGGCGGTCGAGCCGCAATCGCGAGGGACGCAGTGACTCGGTTTTGGACGTGGACTTGATGGACAAAAGGAGCGCCCAACAGAAATCCAAATGTGTTTTTCTTCTTCTTAATTCGAAAAACTATTGTTATCATTACTACTATTATTCCCCAGATAGCTGAAAGCTATCTGGGGTTCTAACTTCGAGAAAGAGGGGAAAGTGATTTGCGAGAGTGACGGGCTGGTGCTAGGGGGCGTGCAGGGGTGCTGGTGTAGCTGCTGGCTGGGTGCTGTTTGAGCTGCTGATGGCAGCGCGGACGCATCTTTTCAAGATTGACGGTAGGGTGTTAGGGGGCATGCAGTTTGGGCTTGTGCAGGTGCTGTTTTGGGGCGTGACGGTGCGCGCGTATTTTTGCATCTTGACGGTAGGAGGCAAGGGGGAATGCAGTTTGGCGTGCTGGTGCTGATAGTGCTGTGGGACGCAGTTTGTGGGGAGCTGTTTGAGGTGCTGGTGACGGTGCAGGCGCATTTTTGCGATACTGACGTTCGGGTGCTATCGGGCATGCAGGTGACGGTGCAGGTCAGGTGGTGGTTTGGGATTCCGTTTGGCGTGCTGGTTGATTTTCGCAAGATTGACGGCTAGGTGTCTTGGGGTGTGCTGGTCGGGGTGCTCTTCAGGGTGATGGTGCGGGCGCATTTTGCTTGATTGACGGCCGGGTTTTGCTTGGGGCGTTCTTTGGGGGGGTGCTTTTTGGAGGTGCTGGTGTGCAAGCACTGCTATCTGGGGTCTATGCTGGTGTATTTATTATGTTGACAGTCTAAACATTGTTCAAACAGGCAGTTGGCCCTTGGACACAAAGTGTTGTTCTTTCTTCAAATGCACAGGAAGCCAAATCAAAGTGCTTGAAAGCCCTTTGACTGACGTCACTTGATGTGACCTGCAACACGCTTTCCGCGAATTCCACGAAAAAAGAAGCAAGCATGAAACCGAAATGTCTTTCAACAAACACCACCAAAAGCAACCATGACTTCCATTTAAGACCCCTTGAAAGAATTTGCTTTCTTCTTTTTTTAACACCTAGTGATAGATTCCCTTCAACACCAACAGGGGAAACATATTCATTTCAGCAAAAGCAACCATGGTCTTAAAGCACACAGAGCAACCAAGCCATGGCTTCTCCAATCGGATCCTCAAGCTCCGTGGCAAAAAAAAAGCCCAAGCGCCCAAGAAGCAAAACACGAGTCACATTCCTCAGATGAGTGGATTTCGAACCAGCAAAAACAACGAATCGGCATCTCTTCTTCTATTGTTTTTTTGGCTTGGTTGAGTTTAAAGGGAACCCGAAACCCAAAAACAAAGGAAAAAGGGCTGGGCAACTGGGCATCCGCGGGTAGAATGCGAAGCCTTGTGACAAATGAATCTGACTCTCGGTTTCCGTCCCTTTCTCCGAATCATTCTCTGCGAGTTTCTCCAACAAGCGAACAAGGATGTGATGTGGCTTTTGAAACATGGCCTGCGGACTGCCACTATGCCTGGTACGCCAAACACGGAAACAAGTTTCTCTTTGTCCCCTTTGGTTGCCCTTTGAGCAACTAAGCCAAAACCAGCTCAGCATGGAAGAATCCCCATCCTAAATCCGTGGGCACAAGGGAACCACCATCTGGCATAAGAACCCAGGAAAGGGGCTTCCCCATCTCACAGACTCATAGGACCCCTGGACCCATGGTTGGCTCATATGGCTAGCACCACAAGCCCGATGAGAATCCTTGAGCTTTGGTCAAAGCTCCTGTTGGTCATGGCTCCCTTCAGGGCCCGTTAAGTTGTCCAAACTCCTGAGGTCTTTTGAACATATAATGCTAGGGGGGGGGGGGGGGGCAGGTGAGAACCGCTGGAACATGCTTTTGCCTTAGACAACGTGTTTGAAAATAGTGGAATTGACGGGACATCAAGACGCGTGATCTCCCAAGGTCTTTCTCTGGCACCACTCTTAGCCCAGAAGCCATGGCAAAGGATTCATTTCGCCCGAAGGGAAGGACCACTTTTCTGGGACTGGACGCCCGCCAAGCGAAAGGGGTCCGGAACCCCGGAACGGGAATTTTCGAAACAGGACTCTCATCTCCCCCAGAAAGCTCCGGTGGCAACTTGGCCATCCAGTTCCTTCGCAAGTCAGCCAGCTTTGCTTTTGAAACGAGTCCTGCTCTTTGCGGGTGCTTCACAAACCTCGAACACAGAGCCCTTCGATGGTCACAAACCGCGTTGCGCGCACACGACCTGTCGTGCCAAGCGACTTGGGTGGCAGCACGTTGAGCATGCACACAACCACCAGCTCGCAAAGCACCTGGCATGCGACGTGGATTTGCCCCTCTTCTTGGTTGATCAAAACGCCCGGAACGATCTATGGATGCTGGAGGTGCTGCTCCGCATGGACAAGTGCCAAAGGTCTGGAAGTACCAACAAGTGCTGGAATGGCCTTTGGAGCCACCTGTGGCTGGTTTTGTACAAGATCATTCAGTTGGGGAGCCCCTTTTGGACGATATTTAAAAGTGAAACCAAAAGGACACAACACGTTTTTGTGGGTCACCCCCCCCCCCCCCCGCTTCTACAATCTGTTCTGTCGTGGACCGAATTGGACAAATGATCTCGCCGTGAACAACAGCGGACAACAGGCCAGCTGCGAGTCAAGTCGCCAGAAGGCTCATCAAAGGTCATATCGTTTTTTGATTTGACTCACGACTGTGCTTCTCAAAATGAGGGTTTTCTCAATGTGCTTGACCTTTTTGGGTGGTTTAAAGGGAAAGCCAACGGTGCTCTATTTTGGGGACAACCGCACAGGACAGTCGGAAAAGCCCTTTGTTACTCAAGGGAAGGATCTTCAGGATTGCCAGTTCCTGTTCAGAGCTGTCACACACGTACAGTACTTGTCCTGGTTGGCGGCTGAAACATCTGCTTGACATGCTTGAACCATTATCTAAACATCCTTGGCAAGAGAGCGCCTCTTTTCCGCCCAAAACAGAACTTGCCCGATCCTGGATTGAAACCACACCCAAAAACACACAGAGAACTCAGCAAAGATGAAACGAAGAACGGGCAATATAACCGGAGTATCGGCTTTTGGTTGCCTATCGGTGTTTGGACGTGTCCGCTCATACTGTGCATGGACGAAATCCTGCACCACCTAGATGATTCCCTTGTACCAAGTTTCAAAGAGGGGCGAGGGATTTTTTGTCCGTCAGTATGAGCCAATGGGGCAATGGCCCAGGAGCCGGTCTGGCTTCCCGCGAGGTGTGCGATGGGTTAAACGGAAAGCCCCTGGAAAGAAGAACCAGGCCTACCAATTCGGTTAAGGGGTCAACATCTGGTAGCACTTGCGTATTCAGGAAGATTCACCTGGAATCCCGAAACGGGATCCATTCAGTGTGTGTGTGTACCCTAGATTCATCGACCTGGGTTCGTCAATGGGAGGGGCGTTCCTCCGGGAAGACCATCAAACAGGGACACTCCTTTTTTGTCAACCCGGGCAGTATGGATCCTTGCCATTCCAATGGAATTCTGGAAGTGGAGGGCTTTTTCAATCGGAAAGTCATAAACCCTCCGATTTGCAGCTTGGCCGCTCATCTTTGTTGCAGAGTGGCACTCGTGCGTTGTACCCATTGAACCCATGAATATTCGGGAGCGTATTCCCAGTCAATCTTGTGCCAAATGAGCATCACCCAACCCTGACTTCAAGATGGCTACAAGTAGAGGGCTGACAATGCCCAATCAACCGGGAACCCTCTATGACCAATGAGCAATGCTCAGATGGGTTGGAGGCGTGGAGGTTATCTACCACATGTGTACAGGGCATGCCTTTGTTTTGATACAGCTAATTACCCTTTTTCTGTAGTCTATTTCGGTCGGGGAACCCTCCCCCCAAAAAGGGTGAGAAAGGGCACTACTGGGGGACCTAGGCGGTGTATAGCCAAACAACCCGCCTGCCCTTGAAACGACTCTGGGTTTGCGGTCTCCGAACCGCTTCTGCCAGCCTCATCTTCGCAGCCATCAGCCATCGCTCGAGAGGCGTCCAAGGATCCAACTGAAAGTGGGGGTCCTTTCAGTTTGGTTGGCCCTTTGCAGCTTCGGTTGGTCCTTTCATTTCATTTCGATCAGCTGTCGCTTCAAGGCTTCATTCCGCAAGTCTTTGGTTTCCAAAGGGCAGGGGCGATTTCACCACCGAAGGCATGCTTCTTGGGCGACCCATTGAGTGGGGTCCAAGTTTTGCGTGAACCCGAAATCGGGCCCTTTCGGGGCGCCTTGCGGAAGCTGAGAGGAGTCATTCTGCCGATGGACCAAAAGAAGCAACTCTTGTGCCGTACCGTACCACTGAAACAAACGGAACCTAAAAAGCCAAGAACTGAGACATAAGAACAGCCAAGACCAGTCCTTGCAATATCTTGCCATATTCGCCTTCAGCTACTTCCGAAGCAGCTACGTGGGGGGGGGGACCTGGTCCCACAACACCTTTTCGCCATGTGCATCCTGTCTGCCGCTGTCGCGCTTGAAAGCTCAGGCGAATCAAGGCTTGGATGTGCGGGATCGATCCGGGCGGCCAAGTTGAGCAATAAAGACCTGGCATTGTAAAGAACT